CTCGGGGTACAAGTGTGAGTAAATTGGGAGTCAAGATCTCCGACAAGAAGAAAAAGAGGGCACGTCGTGATATGATACGAGTAGGGGCTCGAGGTTGTCTTCACAAGGAAGAGATATAATATCTATAATGAGAATAATATTGAGAAGATATTGCGTAAAGAAGGTAACTCGGCTGTAGGCTTCGCTTTACTGTGTGTATGTTTGTAGTTCATTGTTACGTTACCTTTACCTTCTCAGGCCTGTGATATTTGTAAGCTACTAGTAATCCATATTTCTAACTCCTAGGATCATCCCATGAAAATAGGATTGTTAAACTCTAAAGATAGATATTTTCACATGATTCTTCTGGTTAAATCTTTATGAATATACAGCTCTTGTTTCAACAAGACATTTATGTTAGTGTTGAATGCAAGTTGGTGGGCGATTTCGTGTGCAGACGAGCAGCGCTCCACATTGATGGAGAGGATTATAAAGATGTGAGCCTGATACTCATGAATCTATTCGTGATTCGCTGATATCACTACATTCCTGAATTTGGGTCGATAAGAGTGCAAATCTATTGCCGATAGGGCTCGGATATTCTGTGAAAAGCCTTCGCACCTCAGTTGGATTCGAAGGGATTGCATTCTTATATTGGGCTATACCTGTAGATGCAAGTGTGGAAATTATGCTGCAGTGGGCTGCTTTTATGGGTAATCATGTTGTCAATGCCATTTGTCAGACCCAGACAGCTTCGGACTTTATTAGCACCGAGTTGTCTTTCTTGTGTCTGAAGAGATACTCTAGTGCGTCAGTAGAGTGAGGGCCGTGGCAGTTAACACATCCTGGCTGGTAGATATGAGTTCTGGTAAGGTTACAGGATATTTGCTAATTTTCTAAGTGTTGAGATGATCTATGAAGTCTGCAGCAGGGAGCTCGCACGCAAGCTTGCTCGTTATGCCAACCAAAGCATCTCCCGCATTGTGGAGTTTTAGTCTTCTTGGTGAGTCTTTTAGCAGAAAAGTAAACGCCAGATACAGGTAATATTATCGCTAGAAGCGATCCTACTAGATATAGGGCTGTCCAGTCTTTATGATGAAAGAATTGGACTGTGTGTGAGCTTTGAGGTTCGAAGACGTTAATTAGTTGAATTTTGGTTAGGTCCCTTAAAGCTTCAGTAAAATTTGGCGTAGTTATTGAAATATTCTTGACAGAGGTACTATTATGCCCCGTATAAGAGCGGGATATACTAGTGAGTAGGTACGCAGCGTCGTTCGTATGTTTTTCCACTTTGCAGTCACCCTAGGTCGATAGGTAGCTTTCCAGTGCATCCATTCTAGTGATCAGGGCTTCTTGAGTAGGGATAGAGGCTGGGCATATGGCAAGCCCGGTTTTAGTGGTTTGTATCTCCCTTATCAGCCTTTCTTTTAGGAATTCATTCAAGTGGAGCATCACAGCGCATGGTGACATAGAGAGTGCGGGGTGCCCTGGATTTACACGGACAAAAAGTCTGTTATTGATATCGGGGTGTCTTCTGAAGGGGCTGGGCCAGTTGTTTGAAAGTTTGTTGCGGTTGCTGTTGAGTTTATTGCTTAGGAGCATCAATATCAGCGCTCACGTAACTTGGGAGTTGCTGATGAGCTGGAGTAGCTAAATTCACGACTGAGATACTCTGTATAGCTGGATTATAAATGACTTTCTAGTCTAGGGTTGGGTTAAAACGGCAGAGTAGGGCGATGGCGGTCGAAGTATAACTCTGACGTAGCACTCAAAGTTCCAACGCGTCACAGAATTTAGATCCGCGATAAACTCGCGGAATGGTTTGAACAGGTGTTGTAGAAGACAATTTCCGCAGGTAGCATTGTCATTGATGGATGCAATATTTTGAAAATAAAGTTGGCTTCTTGTTTCCTGGTGTCGGCAGCAGAGGTATTTGATACCAGTGTTTCCGTCAACCTGTCCTCTCTACTCAGTTGAATGAACTTGGGGATATGAGGAGAGTATTCATGGTGAGTGCTTAGAAGAACGTAGCTATTTTGCCAGATTTTGTAGATGGCTTCAAAGAATGAGTAAGTTAAATACGAATTGGAGCCTTGCCAAGCTCTGCTTTCTCGCTATCAAGTGTCACGGAACCAAATTCAGTGTTGGAGTATCTAGCCGACTCTCGTATACATATACCTTTTTTACCTACCCACCATACGACACAGTCTTATTCTTCTTAATTATCCTACTTAAATTTCCTTGTAACTTATTATTAACTCTTGTCCAGTTATCGAGAAAAAGAATTTCTAGCACGATTTTAACTGACTGAATACTGTCTAGTAAAATGTATCGTTTATCAAGTATTTGCCATAAGATTGTAGACGTTTGTTGCGGCCACTTTTTCAAGTCTTCTGGATAAGAGTTCATTACTCGGACGCTACCTTGAACTGCATCCCATATCTTTCCTTTGAGTTGACTTGTGATGCATAATATTTTATAAAATAATCTGGGAAACTATTTTCATCAATAAGCAGGACTTGCTGTATTTATATATTCCAACGCTTTTACATTACCTGTGGCTTTTTGGTGTCTTTTTGTAAGCCGCTAAACTTTTCCGCATCCGATCTGGAGTTGCGACGAATATTGGATATGCCTTCCTTAATAGTTAAGGTCTTGGTATCCAACGGTTGACTTTGAAATGAAGTTTATTTATTTCACTACTTAATTTTTCAATCTTATTATTCAATCGGTCCACGTTAGCAATATCAACTGAGCCCTGCGCGTTTGATTTAGAAACTCTAGAATTTAAGTTGCTGATATCAGTAGGCCGAGATGCGGGTTGCTACTTTTTGTTGCAATTGTCTGATTAAGGTTAAGTCTCTCATTGTATGCGAGGCCGATAGACACTTGGTGTTCTGCTACTAGGTCACATAGATGCGGTAGTTCTACATTGGGCCCAGAAACCCAGATATCTCTTGCATCTAATTTTTCCTTGAGAACAACAAGCCTGAAATCGTATGACTAATAAACTACAAAACATCGCCTTATCATGGTTACTAATGGCTTGAAGCTATGGCACTAAGTAGTGGAACTTTCATTAATTATTATGAGAAATAGTACCCCCTAACTGGGGTTATTAGATATCCCCAGCTTTGTTGGAGTACAACAGTGAGCTAGGGGTTATGGATTTGGAAGCCATGCTATAAAAATTTTCATGAACTTAATTCTTTTTGAATTATTGAAGTTTTGGTGCATTGAGATACAATCTCAATATTGCAGTTTGAGTTATAACAGTACATCTGGTTAATTGGATATGTAACAAGAATGAGACAAATGGACAATTAATTAGGGCTATTAACAAGGATATGGTTTTGTTGTGCGTTGGATTGGTGAAATATGATCATTCTCAAAAGAGTCGGCTAAAAACTCCAGAATTTCACGCTAACCTAATATAGGATCTGGGAGGGCAAGACCGAACATCCGTAGGCGGTACCCCCTACAAACTTGGGAGTGAAGTGTTCTCTCAGAGCCATTTTACTCAAATTTCGCAATAACAAAGAAGTTGGCCAACGAGGCAATGATTCAAAATGCTCCACCATGACAAGTTTTCACGCCCAAGGAGATCGACTCCCTCCTAAGTCTCATCAAGGCTTCAAGTCCGACCCAGTACATCCTCATTCCAATGGCCACACCTCTCGTCGACTTTCTCTGGCCTCAGCTCGTAACTAGATATACGCCCACGAAAATACGAATACCCGATGGAGGAAACAAAGCGTGGCGCATGAATCTGGGAGACAGTTCTTGGGGATGGACGTGAGAGGGATCAGGACAAGTTCACAAAATGGTGCAGAGGATGGATACAGTCTCGACGGGCATGAAATTTCGAATTTTTGCAAGGAGTTTTTACAAATTGAGCTTTTTGCGTGCCAAGACTTCGGTTGCGAGAGTGCAGGCGACACTATAAACATCGCCATGGTTGGATGGTGCTCTGGTCTGACTCCTGGTCGTGCTCTTCGGTATATTTTGAGTAGCCTGGGCACCTACTCCACTTGGGAAGGAGACGCCTCATACTACATTTCGCGCAGTAAAAATTGAATGGATGATTGAGGCATGTCTGCAAAAATTGGGGTTTTTGCGAGGTTTCCATGGACAAGCATTTACAGATGAGTGATGACTTTGGGTGATGAAAAAGCCACCATAACTTCACAGTGGTACCTGCAAAAAAAGTCCGAGGCATGAGTGCTCTTCCTTTTTAGAGTCATCTTCCCAGTACTTTTCCTCTGATGTTGTCTCATAGGTGGAAAGCTGCATACGCAAGTAAAATCCGATGCATGAAAAAAGTAGCACGAGAGATAAGGTTAAGCCTTGCCAGATTCTTATAGTCATACTCTCTTTAGATGTTTCAAGTGATCAAGATACCCACGATCTATGAAGGATACAAATATTCGTCCCACCTTTAGTCTTGTGATGCGCGTCGAAAATGTTCCAAGACACAAAGTCAGTGATAGCTAAGGGCATTATTCCAGTTAATTCCTAGTGTAAAAACTATCTAACATCTTCTTCGAAATGAATGAGAAATTGATCTGAAACATCTGATATTTGAGCATCAATTATCATATATTTAAACTCTTCCCGGCAGTAAATGACTAGATTCAAAAAGATAAGGTAATAAATTGACAGAACACGGCATGAAAGTAAGGTTGTATTCACTATGGCTGAAGAAAACATGAGGTAGACCATAACACTCTTTCTTGTAAAACTTTCGTCTAATGAGATGGGTTGAATTTATTTAATTTTTACTATGCTCTTCTGATTGAACGAATTATTCTAAAAGCCGGATGATATAGATAGCGCTACTTGATAGGAACAAGTTCGTAGTATCCTAGGGCGGTCGATCATTAGTCCAATGTCAACGCCAGCCAGGTGGTCTCAGACACATAGGTGTAGGGAAGTTTTTCAAGTGAGCTGAATTGTTTGAAGTACTCGGTCACTTTATGATTTATCTGTCAATGAAATTGCGACACTAACCCTGCTCCAGATCATACGATCTTCATGAGTACTAGCAAAAGTTGGCAATAATTGAAGCGGTGCTTTTGCGCGTTGTGTTGATTAAGACGGCAGTTGTGCATTATATCCATCGCTTCTTTCCCTACATGACTATGCACGGAATTGGTATGCAACAACATTCAAAGCCATCGCACTCTATACATTTTCTCGGGGCAGAAGCACCTTCGCAGGGCTTAACTATTGATGAAACTGTGGAAATAGCTGCCGAGCCGGGTTTGTTGGCAGTTAATGTGGGAGGAGATGCCGAGATACCCATTGTTCTAGTGATGTCGAAAATCAGTTATTTTCCCTCGCAAGAATAATAGAGCTATGGTTGGGGCAGAATAGCGGGGAATCTAGTCTTTGTCACTCCTACCTTTATGTAGAACTTCAAATTAGAATGGTTGAAAGAGTATTTACTCAAGCAGGATGGATAGAAGGAGCACTAGACTTGCTTCAAAGCTGAGGGTCTGAACTGTAAAAGATTGATGGGAATGATCTGGAAAGTCATATACCGAGGAACCGGAGCGAAATGGACTATGACAACATCATGCATTAACGCGAGATTAAAGCACTAAAGTAAACATCCCGTACTACTATTTGAGCACGTGTTACATATCTTTAAATAGACAATAAAGTTTCAATCGGACAACATGCGGCGTCACCAACTGCAGCTCTCATGTTGGAGGGCAAGACTGAACACCTGCACGCGATGTCCCCTACGAACCTGGGGGTAAGGTATTCTCTCGGTGCCTAGCTCAGTCATATTTCGCAGTAACAAAGAAGTTGGCCAACGAGGCAATGATTCAAAATGCTCCACCATGACAAGTTTTCACGCCCAAGGAGATCGACTCCCTCCTAAGTCTCATCAAGGCTTCAAGTCCGACCCAGTACATCCTCATTCCAATGGCCACACCTCTCGTCGACTTTCTCTGGCCTCAGCTCGTAACTAGATATACGCCCACGAAAATACGAATACCCGATGGAGGAAACAAAGCGTGGCGCATGAATCTGGGAGACAGTTCTTGGGGATAGACGTGAGAGGGATCAGGACAAGTTCACAAAATGGTGCAGAGGATGGATACAGTCTCGACGGGCGTGAAATTTCGAAATTTTGCAAGAGTTTTACGAATCGAGCTTTTTGCGCGCCGAGCCTTCGAATGTGAGAGTGTAGCTGCCACCATAAAAACCAGCCAACTATGAAATGCACCGTGATCCGCCTCCTGGTGGTATTCTCCGGTATAGTCTGAGCAGCCTGGGCACCTACTCCACTTGGGAAGGAGACGCCTCAGACCATATTTCGCGCAGAAAAAAGTCAATGGATGATTGAGGCATGTCTGGATAACTCGGGGAGTTTGAGACGTTCCCCTGAGTGGGTATTCACAGATGAGGGTTGACTTGGGTTGAAGAAAAAGCCGTCGTAACTTCGCAGTGGTAATTGCAAATGAAATCTGAGGCATGAGTGCTGATTTTATATTTAGTTATCCATTCTACACTTTGTCTGTGATATTGTGCTATATCTCGATAGCTCGATAGCTGCATACGCAATCAATTCTGATGCAATAAAACCACCTTTTGACACTCCCCCCATTAACTTTTATTCCTAATCAAGCCTCCTTACAAATTCAGAAATCAATTAAAAATATTTGAATTCATTTTTGAACTAAGAACGGGGATCTCATGCAATTAATCGTATTGAATGCGTAAAAAGAGATGGTGTTCTAACAGCTAGCATGGGCTGACTCTGCTAGCAGGTAGATAATGGATGCTCACATGGCTCCTAACTCTCTAAAATATCTTTTGGAAATATTGCGCAATGAAATGGGCGCAATATTCATGGAACGAAAGTAGAAGTTGACTAAAAGAGTGTCATGTTCGGATTAAAGCTAAAAGAGTGGGAGATGTGCGCTACAAGTTCAAGTGTAAGCGACACAGAGCCTAAGCCACAGCATAAACGAGTGTGGCGCCATCTAGGCATAGAAAATCCCCCAATAACCTCCTTGCGCTCACGCCATACAGCCGCTCATTTCTTCAATAGATAGCCTGAAGCGCTACCATATTGCTCATTCCAACCTCTTACATACACACGAGATCATATCGGGAACCTAGACGAAATGGAGGGCCTGTACGTCCACAACACTCCGTGCCTCCATTTCCAACAATATCTACCGAGTATGATCCTATTATTAATTACCTGAAAATGAAAGGACCTAAATTAGTCTGGCGTATCAAATTCGAAGTGAGCACATGGTTCTCAGTTTATACTTATATAATAGAGGAGTACCCGGAGTCTATAGTCTAAGTTATCCCTGTGGCTACCAATCGCAGAACCCCGACCACACGATTATATCCTGCCCTTGATGGTCAAGTGGAAGAGGAGAAATTTGGGGAAATACAGAAGATCAGACCTACGATATTATGATAAGTAAACCTGGCGATATCAAAAGGATTACAGAGTGGATCCTAAATCATAGTTGGATAGAACAATTTCAAGTGACAAAGGCGGTATTTTTTGCGTCAGATTCAATTTCGTATGCAGCTGTGACGGAAACCGAGTTGGTAATGAATAAATCGATTTACTAAACTATATGAGGAGAAAAGAGGACTCTAGCTACGACTAACAGGTATTAATAAGAATTGGTGCCCTTCGTCAATCTCCAGACTGATAACTTTCCCCTTGGCCTAATTCTTACTACCGAGCCAAGTATTATTAGGAGCCATTACGCTATGATGTTGCTTCGACTTCCTGGCTATTAGTGCCATTTCATCTATATTTGCCCATCATTCCTCTTTCAGTATTGTCGTAATTATTTCTAATTAAACGCTAAGGTTTCTGTCGGAATATTTCCTATGGATTCTTTGTTTGAGGTAACTCAATAACAATTGTTTCATTCATTCGTATCTATCTCCATTTGTGACGGAGCGCCAGGGCCTTAATGACCTTGAACACTCGTCACATGATATATGCTTACACAGCTATGACTAATTATTACCCATTTGTCATTACATCTTCATAATCATTATTGCCACCCAAACTCCAGCATCCTTGTTTAATGCACATCCAAATAAAACTTGTGTCCTACTATTCGACAGTTTCCTCCTAAGCTTAAACAACGGTCAAACCGTAACAGCAGCTATCGAGCTATCGAGATATAGCACAATATCACAGACAAAGTGTAGAATGGATAACTAAATATAAAATCAGCACTCATGCCTCAGATTTCATTTGCAAGTACCACTGCGAAGTTACGACGGCTTTTTCTTCAACCCAAGTCAACCCTCATCTGTGAATACCCACTCAGGGGAACGTCTCAAACTCCCCGAGTTATCCAGACATGCCTCAATCATCCATTGACTTTTTTCTGCGCGAAATATGGTCTGAGGCGTCTCCTTCCCAAGTGGAGTAGGTGCCCAGGCTGCTCAGACTATACCGGAGAACACCACCAGGAGGCGGATCACGGTGCATTTCATAGTTGGCTGGTTTTTATGGTGGCAGCTACACTCTCACATTCGAAGGCTCGGCGCACAAAAAGCTCCATTCGTAAAACTCTTGCCAAAATTTCGAAATTTCACACCCGTCGAGACTGTATCCATCCTCTGCACCATTTTGTGAACTTTTCCTTATCCCTCTCACGTCTATCCCAAAGAACTGTCTCCCAGATCTGTGCGCCACGCTTTGCTTCCTCCGACGGGTGTAAATATCGGCGTGGGCGTGTATCTGGCGGCCAGTTGAGGCCAGAGAAAGTTGACGAGAGGTGTGGTCATTGGAATGAGGATGTACTGGGTCGGACTTGAAGACTTGATGAGGCTTAGGTGAAATTCGATCTCCTTGGAAGTGAGAGAGATAAAGGTATGTTTATTGTACTACTTGAGTTTATGCCTATCTAGCACATTGGGCTCCTCTCTGGCCCAGGCCACACCTTGTACAGTGCTCCTGGCCTCTCATGTTTCTTAAAAGATCATTGATGTATTGCTATTGATGAATAGCCATTCAGCTCAGTGTTTACCCATGGAATTTAACCACTTTTTCCACAGAACCTTCTACCCGAAAAAAGAAAGAAAAATAAGAAATCGTAGCAACAGAAACTGCGTGCGCGGGAAAAGTCTCAAAAAGCCTGCAGCCCAAGCCAGGCGAGGCCTAGACACCGGGACCACACGAGGTGAGCACATTCATCTATATCTCCCTTCTTTGTAACAGTCGAGGCCAACTTGATCCAATGCACCATCTCCGTATTGGGTGCTGGGTACGCTCCGGAAACTCATCGGATGGCTTTTTCTCTATAATCGAGGTTTGGTGATGAGTAGAGCTCCGACCCTACCATCTGATCTGATTGTGGTTAGCTTCATGATAATGGTGATAGGGGAATGTGTTGAGAGATGAAGACGATATAGACCGCGAAAGCGATTGGGAATTCTCGTCGAAGTGAGGACTTTGTTACTCAGTCTCGGCTCTGCAGACTCTACATTGAGAGCTGGAGGTTCGTAGGGGACACCACTGACAGGTGTTGAGAATAGTCCCCTAGTGAACGGCAGGAGTTTGTGCACTAGATCCCGTAACAGGACGAGACGAGAAGTTTCTAGAAAGATGTAAATTCATAGGCCGAGATGATTCCTGGGAACCAAGGCTCAAGTCGTTGTGAAAAGGAATGGATGAATACCTGGCAGATTCCCAGAATACCTCATTGTTAGTCAAAATAGAAAATATCAACCTCTTTAAAAATACTCATTGCATTTTATTCGTGATCCGTGACGTATCTTTTGTTTACCTGAATCTGGATTAGTAGATAAATTCACGGCCCACTAAGTTCTCGAACGAAAAGCTTGTCTGTAGTTTTTTTTTATAAGTTTGGCCAGTGTCACGGTTCGAGTGTCGATGCTGGAGCAATCAGATATACGGAGATAGTTTCGTGTTCAGCCACTGTCACCACTTGCGAGACTTTTTCATCCAATACTATTGGCTCCACAGATTCATAACCTTCCGGAACCCGAGTAATCACACATGAGCGCACTTTTATCCTCGCGAGTATCTTGCTTCCCGGGTGATGTATTTGTCTAAAATTTCGGGTTTATCGCCGGCAATAGAAAGCAGTGTTTGGCTGAACAATTTGGCCGCTCGCATCGGAAATATCGTCCATCTTTTTGAAGCCTTTCGATCTGCTCAGCTGTCTTCCACTTAGCACGGAGCGATCTATTAGTGATCAGGTTCTTGGTGAAAAGTGTTGATGTAATTGTCCTTTCTAGATTGTCGTTTAAGCCAAGTGACTCTTTCTGATGAGATTCGGTGTCCCTTCTTTCCATTGGATCACTCATATGCTGATGTTTATTACTTAGAGTTACGAGGCTCGGGGTAGCACTAGATGGATCTATTTCGTACATTGCTGGATCAATGAGACCCAAACCGTCGCCATATGGATCCTCTTCCATTTTTTCTGGAATGATGGGAAATTTCTTCTTAATTTTTCGCAGATTAATTGCTAGGAGAAGGTGGCACACCCTGGACATACATCCCCGTTTCTCACATCTGAGGCAACTTCCCTCCTTCCGAAGCTTTGCTAGCTGACCTTCTGATTTCCATTTTGCTCTTGAAAAATCCTTTTTCTCAATAGCAATGCTGCAGTGAGCCCACTTCATCTTTGCACAAAATATGACTGGACTGAACTGATGACTGGCTGGTTGAACTGACTGCAATTCTGAATTTTAGAGGTGAGAGAATTATAATATGTCGTACTTACAAGATCGCCCAAGCATTTTGTACTGAAACCATGATAGCCAGTCCTAGATTGCTGCGATTTTTGGCATTTTTTTGTCTTTTAATGGACTTGTCTTGTGTGCAAGTTCTTGCCCACGCCTCTACGTCTCCTCTCTAGTTTCTGTCACGTCTTCCTCCTTCTCCACTTGTAGGTGGCTTGATTTATCTTCAAACTTAACTTACAATATTTGATGTTTAAAAGGGGAAGGAGTCACGCGAGTTTCTCAAAAGAAATCGAAAATGGCCATTTCAAGAAGGTTGAAGATAGACCTAGGACGTGCGAAAAAAGGCCTGTAATCATACTTGATAGTTAATTGCAACTTTTACCTCTGATCGTTAAGTTCATCTCATTGATAATGTATGTCAAATTCAAGGGTGCCAAAAGTAGCGTTTATTGTGGTTATGAGCTATGCGGAAGTCACATTACGGAGTGATGAGGAGTGGATGATGTTATGTTTAGTGGTTGACAGTGAATAGACTCAGACAATATTATGCTGTAGGTGTAGGGACAGAAAGTATAAGACTAAACCTGTGTCTCTTTATTGTGGGTACATCTATGAAACTATACACATGCTCGCCTATCTAGTACACTAGTGATGTCTGCTGTGGCCTTGAGCCACACGCGATGCCCTTGCCTCGACTACCTCGTTGTCTCATATAATAACAGCGTCAGAGAGGATTACTGAGAATTATAAGTTATATCAGAAAAGGTCGGCAATAGGCAAAGGAATGAGTCCGCGATTCTAGATATAAGGACAAGAGACAAGATCGATTGAAGACGGATAATTAAACATGGCCCCCTCCATTGGCACTGCAAAATGTATATAAACAACACAGTAGCCAGAGCAACTAAGACCCAGAAAGGATACGCCTACTATTTCTTTGTTATTCTATTCGTAATCCATAGCAACTATAGTAATCCAATAACTGATTCTATCCTCATTCCCTAAAAATGGGGAAAGTAGAGTCAGTAATCAATCGGCGACGATATGAACACAAGATTCATCTCGATTTTGTATCAAGTCGAAATCATTCAGTTCTATTAAGTATCATCCGATGGCGAGATACTGCGTCGACTTCTGTGCTCGTTGAACTCCAAAGGCCATCTTCTATCAATTTTCAGGGAATCTCATGAGAGAAAATCTAAAACAAGTGTACAATTTCAATCCTTACTTCTGTTGATAGCTGTATGGGTTATAGATCTCTATCTCATAACAAGCAGATATAAAAATTTCCTTTTACTCGGTTTAGGATGTAGAAATGAGCATATCATTAAATATACATTTCTGATATTTTAGTGATTCTGTATACCCCAGCCAGACAAGTCCTAAAGTCGGAGTCATAGGAGTTGCGCTTATCCATATATACCTCCCTTTTCAACAAATGGGACCGACTTGATCCAATTATCTACCACCGTATGGAGAGCTGAGTATGTTCCAAAAATTTGTCATATTGCAACTCCTACATGGCTAAGACGAGAAAATCAAGATAATAATAAGTAAGGCTACAGCCATAGAAACTTATCTGATCCTGGTGAGCTTTGTGACAATGATACTAGTAGACTGTGTTGAGAGATAATTATAATAAATATCGCTTGACTATTTGGGAATCCTTGTCCAAATGAGCACATCTGAGGCGATTGTTCTTAGCTATCCCAAATATGTAGAGAATACCGAGCCAATGCACCGACACTACTTAAAGCTGAAGAATTTGTCATTGCTGGCTCCAGCCTTTTTCTTCATCATGTCAATATTAAATTATTTTTTTTGGAGCGGTATCTATACCCGAACACCTGACGATATAAATTTTATGACTAGCAATTGCGTCTATATTACCATCTCATGCTCTAGAGACCGTTACACTGGCCATTTTTAGTAAGCATATCTAATTCATAAATAGATTTATACCCTCCCAAACAATTTTAGACCGTTTCCATCCAATGGTCCTGATTAACAGGGTATTGCGTAACTACTCATATTCTCTGAGCTACTTCGTAGGCTAACATGAAAGTCGTCAGCTAGCATCGACCATGTATCGTCACCAAAATTAGTACTTGACTTAATTTTCTACCCAGCACAGCTTGAAGCTGCTTCTTTCTTCAATCTTGTCTGGTCTATGATGGAGCCTTGCGCTTAAGAGATTTTGAAAACTTTGGGGGAATAAGCGGGAACGTCTGTTGAAAAAAGCACACGATTCTAATTATTTGTTTTTCCGGGGTTATTCTAAGTTTAGGAAGATCAGCGCCTTCTTTGTCAGGATTTTTGTCTGTGGCTATTTTCCGGCTTATGTGGTGCCTGATAACTATTCCGCGAGCTTCTCTCTGATTGTTTACTACAATTTCGTAGCGCACATTAAACGCTTTGAAAAATTAAGCATTTCTTTAAGTTTAATGATTCAAATTACTTACATCCAAAGTATTCACTAGTTTTTTTAGTCAAAAAGGCTCTCTTCCATGGACCATCAACTCTGCTTGATGAGGACTCTATCTCAGAAAACTCAAGCGTGGAACGCGATAATTCTTCAATTGCCGATTGTTGAATCTCTTCTATTTCCCATGACAATGATCCACATTGGACGAAAGGCTTTGTGGGGACTTGGTTCACTCCCCAGGTTGTGTATGTTGAGACCTCGGGCACTCTTGGGCTAATTTTAAATTGTTTCGATTTACGTTCGTAACACAGCACATCTATGAGATCACATCTATTATTGAAGATGATTTTTCCTATTGATTTCTTTCCTCTATCTAGGAGCAAAATTAGTGAATCAGAGCAACTGAGAAGGTTTGGGTTAGTTAGGAGGAAAGGGGTTTTAATAGTTACCATCGGGATAATTTGGTAGAAGTACGGGAAGAGCCCATTCATAGATCAAATTCTCATCTTCTGTGGCTTCAATAAAAACAGTAGGTCTCCTAGTATCATCTCTTACTTTCAAAAACCTTCTACAAGCGGCTCGTAAAGCCGCTTCGACTGTACTTAAAAGTATTATTTTATTGTTACACTGGTATCCAGGCTCAGCTGGTACGTCCATTCTGCGTTGCAGCAATGACGCATGGGCTGAGACTACAAGTACAAGAAACCCGACTTTAAGCCAGAGAGAATGGCCTCTGAAGTTTTGTTGTAAAGATTTCATGATCATTGGTTGTCAAGTTAGTGCTTTGCAGTGAGAGATGTGATAGCATACAATGAATCAAGTAAAGAATTCCATTCGTGTGGAGCACTAAAGCGTAGTCCACTTACTTATTCCTTCTTATCGTTCGTTGGTAAGATATTACTTTCAAAATTCCGGCAAGACAGCGGGCTCGGCGCCCATGGATTGTGGAAATTTAGCTTAGGATATGCCATGTTGAATGAGTCTCGTAGGCCAAGCTCCGGGTGGGTTTAAATTACGCCAGTAATCTCGAGGCGAGTAGCCCTAGATGTCACAGTTCGAGTGTTGATGCTGGAGTAATCACATATACTAAATTAGTTTATAATTTTCTATGTAACTAACTATCGAAATATTACTTCAACAATATGCACATTTTTGAACATATCTGGGATACTCATTCTTGGCTGATATCTTCTTGTCGCAAATTCCAGTTATAGTAGTTCCAAGACTTGCTACCAATTACTAGAATATTCCAGTTACAGCTGAACTAATCTGGAATAAACCTAGACTACTTTAGAATGATATAAGCACGTGATTATAATCATAGGCGCACAATAGAATAGAATTTAAGTCCCTACTGAGTCTGTGACTATGATAGACTGTTAAAACTATGTGAATAGATCTAGATTTTGATACGAATGAATTTTTTTGGCATTTTCAATGTTTGCCAACAGATATTGAGGGCCATGTCCTGTTCACATGGCGCACAACAAACGGCTCATAAGCCGTTACACTAGGCATGATTAATTATATCCCGTCCTTAATTTGTTGCTATAATTTAGTCTGTATAGATTTTCAGGGTTAGTGATATGAAGATTTCTTAGGTGACATTGACATACGACTTGATTTGATAATCGGATATAATATGCAGAGTTAGAGTGGCATGAGTAAAAGACCTAACAGAATAGAAAGGGTCAAGCTGCCCTCACAGCAATTGTTCAAATTGGCCCTACTTGGCAATAAAGAATCGCATTAATCAGAACGTAATAAGGTTCTATTATTACTGGCCACATTCATGACGACTCATACATTGACTGGCCTCTCAATTATTTAGCATAAACAAGTGAATCGTGTCCTTCACTTACATGTAGTGATTAGTTTAAATAGCGCTCTTGTTAGAATTTAGAATAATTGGGGCTGTCAAATAGGCCCCATTGTTGGTACACATGTGACTACAAATTCTGTACTTAGTTTCACTTCGGTGGCTAATTGAATCAATGCGCTTTACAACCTCAATGACTGAGGGGTCATTATTTCCTTAGTAGGTTATGAGCCCGGATTGTCGCTCGCGCAATCACGTTGTATCGCCCGGAGTTTGATACTATCTTCGTTATGGGCAAGTAGAAGGGCATATGCTCTACTTGCGCCAAATTAATCCAACTAGGAGGCTGTTACCTTCTTGAACCCAAGACAAGGCCATCGCCTTTGAGTTGCAATCTCTAAAGAAAAGTGAACGGCTGTCACCTGAGAAGACAAGAGGTTATCGCCTTCGTCAGGGAAAGCACAGGTCGGGTACTGAAGATCGGGTTCGCTGCAAAACCCTCGTGAGGATTGATGGTTACTAAACGCACCGGTAGCCAGCCCGGCGATGGACTCAGAGAGAGAGCCCATGAGTCAAACGAGTCGACCCGAATAATCCAAACAAAAACACCAACCTGGCAGCTACAATACGAAAGCTGCTCCCAACATCACAGTCTGACAGCAACTCTTCGACAGCTGTTAATTTAAATTCCTCGACTCTCTTCCGAACAGTTCGAACCTCAACCCAGCAGCTCCGCTTCGAAAGCTGCCATTTATACTCTCATGAATATCCCTTCTTACAGCCTTTTAACACATCTAAGCAGAGAGAAACTCGTCAAATTATCCGACAACATAAAAGTCTCTACAATAGCCAAGGCTTCAACATTAACACCCTCTCCACGGCTATCTTCGTTAAATTTTATATTGTCGTGGGGGAGTGTATTTGATAGCTAAGAAAGGCTGACGCTTAGACGCCAAATCCTGGGGGAGGCTCTGGAGTTATCGACAACAAACCGAAAGGTCACTCTGGAAAAGCCTAGGACTCTACGGTGTACATGGGGGGAAATGAAAGGAGATGAATCAATTCCAAGGGATACATAACTTGGATTGATTCATCGAAAATTTAAAGCCCATTTTGGGAGCAGACAACTAACCATTCAAGCAAACGTCTAATGAAGTAAAGATACAGGAAGACAAGAAATACGCCCAATTAGTCTATGGGGGAGTGTTAGAATTTAGTATATTTAATTATTTATAAGATTTAACGTCGTGCTCGCGCACAGCACATGAGCTCCTCACGTACCGGTCAGCCCAGTCTATATAAAGCCACCCAACGTGTTGGCGCCTACATAAACCCAATATAGCAAATGAAGAACAGGATCTTATTATCCTGTACTCGAAGATTTAATTAAACATGAATATCAGCCTCGCATTGTCTCTCATGATTTGCAGAGATTATTCCATGGAGAATATAAAGCAAAGAAATAAAATTAGTGTAGGAAATATCGCGCAATGAAATGGGCGCAATATTCATGGAACGAAAGTAGAAGTTGACTAAAAGAGTGTCATGTTCGGATTAAAGATAAAAGTGTAGGAGGTGTGCGCTACAAGTACAAATGTAAGCGACACAGAGCCTAAGCCACAGCATAAACGAGTGTGGCGCCATCTAGGCACAGAAAACCCCCCAATAACCTCCTTGTGCCCACGCCATACAGCCGCTCATATCTTCAATAGATAGCCTGAAGCGCTACCATATTGCCCATTCCAACCTCTTACATACACACAAGATCGTGTCGGGAACCTAGACGAAATGGAGGGCCCGTACGTCCACAACACTCCGTGTCTCAATTTCCAGCAATTAGTAAAGAGGAAAATTGGTTTCGCGGCTTTAAAGCTCTCTCGCTTTTATTACATGACTTGATTCTCGTCAGACTGTTGTTGTGCTTTTCCAAAAAAGTTTGTGTCACGCATCCAGCTACTGAATGCATGAACTCCCTCCGCTGTAGCAAGAGCCCAAGATATGCTGGGACTAGGATTCTGTGCTCTATGGAGCTATTCCTGGTATTGCCCAAGATGGCAATAGAAAAAGTGGTCGGGGGACTCCTCTTCTCCGCATGAGCAGGTAAGGATGGCGTTTTCGTGCTGAAACCGTCGGTGGTAGTCTGCAAAATCGCCATGTCCAGAACGTGCAGCTAATAGATATCCGTCAGGCGCAGGTTCACTAGGCGCAAGACTCGAGGCGTAGGAGAGGGTGTAGCGCACGTGGTACTAAGGACGCCTCGTGGGAACGCGGAAGGCTTTCTAGAGAACTGGTAAATGGGAACGCAGGGAGTCGTTCTAGATAAAGTAGCCAGAGGTGACAGTAGGTCACTATGGTTGGCAGAGGGCGAGAATGAGATGTGATTAGAACTATGTAACGATTCCTAAAGACAGAAAACAAAGCGTGAATATCTCAGTCTCGGAAATGAAAATTACATAACTATCCTCGCTAAGCAATAAAGCCTCGTGGGACTAAATAAGGAACCCATGAGTCCTTCCTAAGGCATTTCTCCAGAATTCTTACAATATCCTAGTGTGCGTCGCCCTAGACGAGCGAACTTAATGGTGACCTTAGTATTAGGACCAATTCCTCATTCTTCGTATCTAGACGGTGCATTTTCTGCCCAAAAGAGTGCGAATGAAGCCTCGTATTGGGCTTTGACTTCTCCCCTTGCCCTCGCGATGGAGATTTCCAAGTGTAGAACTGGAGCCACAAAGGCGGCTTTGATAAGCGCGTCGGCTGCTTCGTTCCCGAGAATACCTGTGTGGCCTGGGCACTATCGAACAGCTACTTCCCCAGGCGTCGTATTTTGACCGCATCATCTTCTTTTCCAGTTCATTGCGAGCTTGCGAAAGATTAACATTTCACCGAGCTGGACTCTATGGGCGTATCCAAGAGCAGACGGATGGCAGCCTCCTGGTTGTCAAGGCAGACAGTGACGTTAGGCGCATAATAGGCCAGTGGTTTGCGAAGAGCTGCTGCAAGAACTTCCGTGGCCCCAGCAATTTCAGCATCATACACTTCTGCCGAATTTCCGAGTGGGAGTGATCCTCGCCCGATCTCCTACGCAAGACCTCGGTAGATGACATAACTCGCACCTGCTCGCTCTTCTATTAGAGCTCCGTCTGAGATTACGAACAAGTCTAGGGTAGGTCGTGTAGCCTACCACTGTTTAAGGAAATTTGGTCCCAAGAGTCTACCTACTGCTCCAATTTCAATAAGTCTTTCTTCACGGGCTAACGACCACGGTGGGGGAATGATGTTCTCGGAAAGTTATGGCGAGATTCTTTGGCGGATTCAGCGCATGCGGCTAGTGTTCCAACGCCTACGAAGAGGATGATAGGGGGTCAGCTGCAGCATTTCGAACCGCTAGACGGCTATGAATTCTGTTAAGCCACGTCTGGGCTGGACCCCAGCCAGCTTTCCGTAGAAGTGCTGCTATTGGTGTTGTACGATAGACTGGGAGGGCTGCCCGAGCTGCGTCGTTTATCCTGTGTTGGAGTCGCGAGATGGTCTTTTGAGATGTCTCTTAAGAGTACCAGGTCTCGGCCCCATAGAAAAGGGTCGCAAATTCGGCATCATACAGAGCTTGTCGTAGATAAAGAGGACTAATTCCTCGAGTCGTGGTCGAGAGTCTTTTCAAATGGCGCGTGATATCTTGAGACTCTCGGCAAGCCTGTAGAGTATGAAATTGGAATTAAAGTGCACGGTCAAAGAAGATTCCAAGCCAGCGAGTGTAATCATTTGGCGTTATGATTGTCCCTCCCATATTTGGAGCAGACTCTATTGGTGATCATCGCTTCTGGTGAAAGTATTGCAGCTTAGTCTTAGGAAGTTCGAAACTAATTCCGTTAGTAAGTCCCCATGCTATGGTGCTGTCTAATTTCTCCTGGAATTTGCGTGCACACTCGACAAGAGGGTACGCAGACGCAAAGAGGGCAATGTCATCTGCATATCCAAAGCGACCGGCAGAGAAACGTAGTGCCTCATCCATAGCCAGAAGAATTCGGAATAATTGGGGCTATCAAGTAGGCCACGTTGTTGGTACACATGTGACTACAAATTCTGTATTAAGTTTCACTTCGGTTGCTGCTTGAATTAATGCGCTCTACAACCTCAATGACTGAGGGCTCATTATTTCCTTAATAGCTCTGATTCTAAGCGGGTTTTATCAAAAACTCTCCACTATAGTTTTCAGACTCTTCAATCTCCCAACTCGCTTGACTGGGTGATATTAAATCTAAGCCTAACAGCTTAAGCTTCTCTATACAACAGCAATGATCGGGGGACTATTCTCAACACCTGTCAGTGGTGTCCCCTACGAACCTCCAGCCCTCACTATAGAGTCTGTTGAGCCGAGATTGAGTATCTATTGTAATCTTAACAGTCCTGCACCTGTTACACTGGTCGTGCACTATCTCGTTTTCGTTCCAACATGTCCAATGATAAGCGCCAAGAGTAAGTAAAATTACTCTTGGCGCTTATCATAGGACATGTTGGAAGTTGTGTCAGTTGCATAATCTTTTCTTCTACTCAGCTAAATTGGTGGTCTACTGTAGATCAAGAGATACTCACACCATGATAATGTTGCCATGTTGGGACATGGGCGCATATGCTGGTCTAGTTCTAGATTCATCACTCCTCTCGTCAACTCCACAGCTTTACATCTAGAGCTCTGTTCACCTGCTCTTGTGTTCGAGTATCACTCTTCCTTCCTCTCCATCAACTCGAAATCCCTCTGACTCTTTAACCTCACTTCGATTAAGATTCACAATAGCTTTCGCCGTCTGTATCATCTTCATCTCTCAACATTACCCCCTATCACCACGATCAGATCAGATGGTAGGGTCGAAGCCCTTCCCATTACCAACATTCTATCATGGTACAGCTCATTTCATTCTTGGTATCCAAGTCGAAATCACCGATATAGGTATCTCATTAAGCCAAAAAGCATACATTAATAAACTGCTCGAATGATATGGAATGGCGGATTGTCAGCCTCTTGGCACTCAGTTAGAACCTAATATTCAGCTTCGAAAAGGAACGCCTGATGAAAAATTAAATGATCCAACAATATACCAATCTATCATAGGGTCATTAATGTATTCATGCATTGGCACAAGACCTGATCTTGTGTATTTAGTTACAGCCCTGTCAAAATTGTCTTCTTGCCCCAATAAATTGAACCTTGTAGCTTCAAAGAGAGTACTTCCATACTTGAAAGGTACCATCAACTGGACTTCAAATTATCCTCAAAAAATGATCATGCTCTTTATGGATTAACTCATTTATCAAATGGCAACTTCTTAGATGATCGAAAGTCATGCTCTGGGAATTTTTTTGGGCAAAGGGGAAGCTAGTATTTTTTTTTGCATCAGATTTTAATTGCGTATGCAGCTATCTAGCTATGACACAATATCAAAGAAAATTACAGAATAGATGATTCAACGTAAGAGAAGAGCACTCATGCCTCAGATTTCATTTGCAAGTACCACTGCGAAGTTACGACGGCTTTTTCTTCATCCCAAGTCAACCCTCATCCGTGAATACCCACTCAGGGGAACGTCTCAAACCCCCCGAGTTATCCAGACATGCCTCCATCATCTTTCAACTTTTCTCCGCGCGATATGTGATCTGAGATGTCTCCTTCCCAAGTGGAGTAGGTGCCCAGGCTACTCAAACCATACCAGAGAACACCACCAGAAAGCGGACCACTACACCTTCCATCATCGGCTTGTTTTTAAAGTGTCAGCTGCACTCTCGCATGCGAAGTCTTGGCGCGCACAAAGCTCAATTCGTAAAACTCCTTGCCAAAATTCGAAATTTCACGCCCGTTGAGACTGTATCCATCCTCTGCACCATTTTGTGAACTTTTCCTTATCCCTCTCACGTCTATCCCAAAGAACTGTCTCCCAGATCTGTGCGCCACGCTTTGCTTCCTCCGACGGGTGTAAATATCGGCGTGGGCGCGTATCTAGTGACTAGCTGAGGCCAGAGAAAGTCGACGAGAGGTGTGGTCATTGGAATGAGGATGTACTGGGTCGGACTTGAAGACTTGATGAGACTTAGGAGGGAGTCGATCTCCTTTGGCGTGAAAACTTGTCATGGTGGAGCATTTTGAATCATTGCCTCGTTGGCCAACTTCTTTGTTACTGCGAAATATGACTGAGCTAGGCACCGAGAGAATATTTTACCCCCAGGTTCGTAGGGGACATCGCGTACAGTTGTTCAGTCTTGCCCTCCGAAGCTAGTATTAGCTGGTGCTCCAAAAAGCAGAAGACTGCGACATTATCAACAACTGAAGCGGAGTATATGGCATTATCAGATGCATCGCGACAAACGATTGGGACAAAATGTTGTTGCGGAACTCAAAAAGGATTATAAACCGATACTTCATGCAGACTCAAATGGAGAAATGGACTTATCCAAGAATAGTAAAATTTCTTAGCGGTCAAAACATATAGACATCCGATACCACTTCATCCGGTCACATGTTGATACCTCTTTCAAGCTAGAATATGTGCCGTCCGAGGACAACTTGGCTGATTTATTGACAAAATCTTTAACAAAGCCTGCTCATCAGCGACCATAAGCTATTGTTCGATGCAGTCCTGAGGGGAAGCGATGAAATTAAAGAGTTCACGACTGCACCTATTGTCTTCTATTGGTAACTATGACTAAGCCCAATATAAGGCGCGTGTAGCGAGGTTGAAGCGAGGTTACGATTCTTTGACACACACATGGGGTTAAGGAGTTGATGCATATAACAAAATATAATCACATCTTTGTACATAGTATAGGCATATATCTTCTATTTTTTGCCAGACTCATACTCTTCTCTATTATCATCGCATCACAATCTCTCTCCACCTTTGTAATAATAGTGAGAAGTGGCCGACTTTTGGTGAGGCGAATTCCCGATTACAATAAGAGTAATGCCATTATCAGTAGTTAGTGCGAGATGCTGTAGTAAGATTGAGGTAGAGAACTCGCGTGGTAGTGATAAGTCCGACATTGACGAGAAGTCGTTGATTTTAGATATGCTTGAGGTTGCTTTCGACTTTGATTCGGATACGATCTGTCTTGGCTATCCCAGACGTGCAGAGTATACTGAGCGATCACACCGGCACCATTACAAGTGTAGAGAATTCCTCTTTGCCGGCAGCAGCGGCTATGTGGATGATAGTCAATTAAACGTAGACTCCAGCCCCTCTCTATTTTTGTTTTCTTTACCAGATTTTAGTAGCGTACGCAGCCATCCAGCTATGACACGGTGTCAGAAAAATGCAGAAGAGAGTTAGAGAAAAAGTGTAAAATAGATGACTCCAATTGTGCCATCTTCTTAATGCCTGCGATTCATACTTCTAGAATCACATTACCTAGTCGAGAGTGGAGCCCTCACTGCGCCTGCAAATGTGTACCTAAATTTCTACATGATTACCTTATCCTAGACCCTTTAACCCCACCTGCCAAAAGTGCAGACTTCAGAGTCTAGATTTATCGACCCCACGCCAGTGACCTGTTCGTTATTGCTGAAGAACATGCATTGTAGTTGAATTAGAGCGATGTAGCTCTAGCTAATCGTAACTCCCTGTTGGAGAAAGATCAAGAAGCTGATGCTGATACTCATGTGACATACATGGGCCCAGGTAGCTCGCCTAGCAATGCACGTCATCTCTTGAATTACTATAGCTTGATTATTATTGGCTAGAATTCTGCGGCGCATGACTTGCAGGGGAGGGTCATGGTCTCACCCTGTCAAAAGTATTTACATTGTTAATAGAAGAACTGCGATTGGCTGATCTACATATTGCTGATTACAATTACTAAGATTATAATTGGTCAGTCGGTATTCAAATCGGGAAAGCTTCCTGCGCCAAGTCTTATTCTTATTAAAAAAGAGAATTTGATTCGCGAAGAGGTGGACGCTGGTAATAGTGGAGAATTGCGTCAACATTTCCGTCCGATAAACCTTGCAGTCCCTGTTCCTGTTTCAGATCCAGACAAGCCCCTTAGTATTCGAACCAATCAAACCAACTCTATTAAAAATCCAAAATTTCGAGCAACTTCCAGCAGGAGTCGCGGTCGAAGAGAGCTGCCTATAAAAAAGGCAAAGAGGCACCCCGATACATTGTAATCATCAGTTCATACGATCAATCCCGTTCAGACGACTTTCAAATTTCGCACTTCAAGTCAAAAATAACCTCATCTTCAATACTATCAACTACTTCACACTCTTCAATATGGTATCACCAAGCACTTGCTGTGGAAAGGACGGCCAGAGATGCGTCTGGTAAATATATTATGAATCCTGAAGTAACTCAAACTAATATAATTCAGCGCCTCTATGGCAAAATGTTCATGCGGCGAGAAATCAGCACTTCATTGCAACTGCTCAAAATCTGCGGTCGAAAATGCGATCACTGGACCACGCTGTTCTTGCCGTACGTTGCCCTACAACAGTGAAGATATAAGAGGAGCGCTAACGATAAAATAGGGGCTCGTCCTGCACGGGCATGTACCTGTGATCGTGCCGCTGTAGAAAATGCTTCCCCTACTGGACCTTTATGTTACTGCGGATCAAGACCTGCCGGTACGTACGGATTAAATTGGGTTAAAGCCCTTCACTAACTCTTTACCAGACTCCTGCTCGTGTGAGAGAGCTTGTGATGGAGGGATTTACCCAAATGAGACCGATTTCACCACGCTATAGACAGTGACTAAATTTTATATATGAGGAGAAACGCAAAGTAAAAAAGGGGTCTGGAGTTAGGTACGAGGGGTGAGAAGAATCGACGCGGAGTTTATTTTAAAGCTTGTAGCGTTAAAGGTACGATGAAAGTAGATAGGAGAAAACTAGAATTCGTATACCAATCTATGTCATGAAGAGAAAGATGATCTTCATTCCTAACCCGTTAAGTGAGATCCTAGTGACGTTTTTAACTCTCAAAAATTACATACTATGAAAAGAGAAACTGCTTTAGAACGCGGCACGCGAAGGAGTACGAACATCAAAGCTACTGATCTTCAACTTTTTTAGAAATGAACCGAGTAATGCGGCACTACAGGCATTAAGAACTCAATTTTCAACCCTCAAAAGTACTGTCCATTTATCCGCCTACGCAAGAATGACATTTCCTATCATGATGTCACTTTCGCATAGCGACATTAAGACCTTACGATTGCCAACGGTGTCCACTGCGAACCTCCAGGTCTCACTGAAGAGTTTGCAAGGACGAGATTGAGTAAGACCATTATGCTTATTTTAATGAATATTCCCAAACTCTTTCGCTGTCTGTTTCGTCTTGTAACAGTTCCGATGTAGAAAAGCTTGGGCTCTCGTATGCCAAAAGGTGATTTATCTACTAATTGAAAAAAGGAGCTACCACTACATCCAACGCCTTATTCATATAAATCATCTTACTATTCCGAAGACTATTAGCTATCCTCCGATTGAGTCCCTATTATCAATATGCAAGTTAGCTACTAGCGATGCTTCGTGCACGGGTAGCGTCAGACTTTGATAACCTGTGAGACTTAGCGCTGGCGATATAAATATATTTGTGCTGAATAGTACAGGCTGAAGGTACCTCATCGGCTTGCTAGCTGTCATGCGTCTTTGAGATTCTTAGGTCCTGGGACGGTGCGATAACTAAACTGTAAATATACGAGGAGCGTAGGTCAACGGTGTCTCGGGATTTCACCTATATCTTCTATATAATGAAATTTTGAGAAATTTTATGAGTCCCCCAATAAATTATAGGATCTGTCTAGTACATACGAGTGTCCAACTTCGTGTGCATTATGTATAAAGAATGGGGTACACGTGTCAATTTATAGTATAAGGTACATGATACGGTATCCTCATCATCATTTCTTCACATAAGATAAGAATTTTTATTATAGTCCCTTCTGAGTCTAAGACTATGAAGGACTCCTACAATCTACCATTGAAATTCTGGCTACTATTTCAATGTTAAAATAAAGTCATCTAATGTGTTCCAATAGATGATGAGGGTCATGTCCTGTTTTCTTTCACATAACATCATAACAATATCATCATGAATCTGTATATTTTCTGATCATCTGACGTGTTTTAAGCTACCTAACTATGACTAATGATCGGTACCATGAGTGTAGTTTAGATGACTCAATTGACGGTAGAAACACTCGTTCGGATTTCATTCTTTTTTTATTCATAGTGTATACAGCTATCTAGCTATGACACATTTATAATTTGTAAATCTAGTACGCTCCTTGTATATCATCGTCTTTGTTGGATCATAGGTGTCAATGCCCTCTGGTGTGAGTCCGTACTGGGTGGAGCTAGCCCATATGGGACTAGCTCCCACACACCACGATATGTGTTCTCCCCGCAGAGAACACCAAGTAGACGTAGAACCACAAGAATGAATGCAATACGTTTCCTGTTATCTCTTTAAGCACTAGTGCACCAGACCCTCCCAACACTGATCAGTGGTTGATTTGGTCAACCACAGACAGCAAGGAAGAAGAGACAGATCCCATCTTCGAAGACCTCCCTGGCGCTTGAAGCCATACTCTCGAGAGAAGATTCTGTGCAAAGCAATAAGCCGTCGAGCTTTCTTTTTCGCAAACCTCCGGCGCGTCCTCCAACGCAAACAACAGTACGAACTTTTGCAAAGACCTCCCTGGCGCCTGACGCTATACTCTCTGGCAGAAGACCAATTCCGCACTACAATACCACCGAAAATCACGTTAGAAGCTGTGCCAATTGAGCAGCTGATTCCACGCAAAATAACCAAAACACAACGTGCTGACCTCGCTTCCGCCCGATATGCCATCTTCAAGCAACAGGGCTAGCGACACAGGCGATTCAAGCACAAGCCCCCGAAAAATGGAGTACACGCGCGAAGAACTCATGGAAGGGATCCGCGTCAACAAGAGTGAATGGAATGTCATCGAGCCCGACCTGTGGCACTCCCCAATATCCCCGACCTCAAATGCGACACATCTCACGACCTTCGTCGCCAGAGCTATTCAGAACTACGACTTTGAACAACTGTACGATGATGACGTGTTCTACGCCTTCCGTGAGGAATTTGAGACTTGGAACAAAGATATGTTCGACACGGTGTACATGCCCTTCCGGCGCGAACTGAAGATCTTCCTCCGATTTCACGGAGTCTACACAGGCAGAAACAATGGCAGGATAGGGCAACAGCTTGCCCATATGATACAACTAGAGGAAGCCCCCGAGTGGAATGAAGACGAGCTCCGCACTGCGAAGTTTGACACTCAGTCCCGTGCTTTCGAAAAACAACAAGCACTGCTACGCTCAAGCCCGAAGATGTCGGAGAAGAAAAGAGAGCCAAACGAACAGGACCCCCAGTCCGACAAGCCCATACTCCCAGTTAAGCAACAACCTCCTCCCTCTCCTCATGTACAACCAGAAAACAAGCAAGACAATGTCCACCAACCGATGAATTGGCCGATTGGATCGTCAGAACCACAGCTCCCACCGAGAGAAGGTACGACACTGCCGAGCCAGACAACGCCGTTCCCGCCGCCGCCGCCGCAACAATCATGGTCACGAGCACCATACGCTCCCTACCCGGTGCAGATGCAGTACATGCCCCAACCGAATCTCCCTTCGTACGATCCGTACAGTACACTTCCTCCACGCCCAGTTCCCAACGCGCGCCTCGATCCTAGCATTTCTTCACAATTTGTCAAGACATTCGATCGGAAGAAGAAGTACACCGGCGAGCCATATGATTTACTAGAAGATAAACTCCGCATGTTCTTTAACATCTGCTACCATGCCGAGATTCGCCCAGAGCAGTTCCACGCCGTTTTTCCTCGCATCCTCACTGGACGAGCGGAAGCCTACTACCTTCACTACATCAATCGGGACGACACCTTCGCCGCGGCGTATGAAAAAATAAAAACACACTTTGACACCGAGGTCAATCACCACTACTACTACACCGATTGGACCAGTACTACATTCAATAAAATGCGTCAAGAGTCGACCGAAAAGAACATGCACAAAGTCCTACAGACCCTGCTGGACAAGCTCCAACTGTGCCAACGCGCACTTGGTCCAGACTACGCCGGTGAAGCCAACCTCCGCACTGCTGTGATCAAAGCATGCCGAGGAGTACCCGAACTTGAACACGCGTTATTCAAGCCAGCCAAACTGTGTGAGGAACTGTTCTCAGACATGCGTTCATCAATTGAGACGCATATGAGCCGTGTCTCCACTCAACAGATGATGATGGATGATGCCGAAGACGGCCAGTATTACCTCGACCGCCGCTACAATAACAGCAGAAGGGGCCGAGGCAACTTTCGAGGAGGAAGCCGTCGTGACGACCCCCGCGAACAAAGTCGAGGAGGCCGCCGTGACGTTCGACCCCGTGACTGGAAGAAGAAGTGCTTCGTATGCCACAAAGAAGGATGCTGGTCAACTAAGCACACTGACGAAGAACGCCGCAAGTCCCGCAACGCGTACGTCGCCCACTGCAATTTCACTGGTACCACTATAGACGACTTCGCAACCTATCTGACCGACTACGAAGGTCATGAGATGAATCAGCAGTTGCCCCAGGACGAAAAGTCTGATGATGATGAAGAGTACGATGAATCTGATACTTTCTTAGTCGAGACTTGTCAATACCTCACTAACCAGGCTTTCTTGCACCAGCTCACCGGCGAAGATGTCTTTCGCACGAACAACTCAGACGTCCCCGCCACTCAATTCATGATTCAAGACCGGTACTCGAAGATGAGATTCCAAGGTATTCTTCCTGATACAGGCGCTGCACGAGTCTCCACTGCTGGCAAAGAGCAGTATCTCGCGCTTCAGCGTGAGGATCCATCAGTCCAAATGGATGAATCAACTGCTGGTCAGGCATCAATCCGGTTCGGAAAAGGCTCAACGACGACCTCAATTGGTACTGTCACAATTGAGACACCAATTGGAACAACGAAGTTCCACGTGCTCGACACGCCTACACCCTTCCTGTTGTGCCTTGCCGATATGGACCGCCTTGGAGTTTATTTCAACAACACTACGGACGAACTCATTCGAGGCAAGAAGACCATCCCGGTGATCCGCAAATGGGGCCACCCGTGGTTCTTCTTAAGCAAAACGGAGAACGCAGGTGTCTTTCTTTCCGAAATCGAACTACGGCGCCTGCACCGCCGCTTCGGGCACCCAGCGACCAACCGCCTATACCAACTTTTGGAAAAGGCTGGTCACGACGATGTCGATAAAGGGACTTTAGAGATGATTGCCAAGTCCTGTCATCACTGTCAAATGCACAGCACGGCACCGAGACGATTCAAATTCACCCTTAAGGACGACCATGAATTCAATTACGAGATCCTGGTAGACGTGATGTACCTCAACAACCGCCCCGTTCTCCATGTTGTCGACTCAGCTACAGCCTTCCAAGGCGCCCGATTCTTACCATCGATGTCTGCCAAAGATACCTGGGAAGTACTACGCTCGCTCTGGATCGACACCTACCAAGGCCCGCCCGATATCATCACCCACGATGCCGGCACAAACTTTGCCTCTACGGAATTCCACAACGAGGCCAAGGTCTTAGGCATCTCATGCAAACAGGCGCCAGTCGAGGCCCACTGGTCAATCGGCAAGCTCGAGAGATATCACTCACCACTACGCCGCGCGTTTGAGATTCTGTCTACTGAACTCGGAAGCAG